CACGGATGAGCAACGGTGTCCGCAACAGTAGCAACAACCGCAGTAGCATGAGAAACGGTAGCTGCAGCAAGGATACAAACAGCAAGCAAACGCATAAACCAACAAGCCAACAAACCAACAAACAGTCCAATGAACCAAACAAGCAAACCAACAAACGGACCAAAAACGCGACAAACAAACGAACAAAAAAACATGCGGCAACGGAAACGCCAACAGCAACAGCAACAACAAAAAACAAAACTACAAAACCGCTACTAGTAGCGGCAGCAGCAGCAGCAGCAGCAGCGGAATAGTGGCGATAAGACGGTCCACGGCATCTCTGGCACATGCTAACAACGTTGGAACTCGCGGTGTTCAGGGCAACATTGCCAAGTACTTACTGTAGCCGAAAGAACTTCCACAAAGAGAACCACGTTCCGCAACGCGGCAGCGAAGGAAATAGGTTCTTGCTGGACAAGGTCACGCCAGCTCAAAAACACAATACCAAGTATGAAGCGATGCCGCTGCAGTAGCTGAAGAAAAAACACTGATATGTCAATGCATGACAGTAATCGCAGCAAGGCTGATGACAGGCGGCTTGGTTGAACCAGTTGGGTGGTTGAATGGCTGCGCGTGCGTGTGGCTGCGTGGCCGGGCAGCTGGGGTCTGTTTATGCACAACACTGCAGCCAGCGTGGTCGAACAGTAGGAGAGCAGCACACGGCGGTTTATTTGACCATATCAGGCCGCGGTCACTCGTGCACTCAGCTCCTCGAGGCCGCCACATGGGGGTGGTCCAGCTGAATCAGGTTTTGAATCTCTTGTTTCAAGAACGCCATGTCTCCATGCACCTGACGGAGCTGCGCTCTTCTTTGTTTGTTTCTCTTAGATCATCTGCCTTCTCCTTGTTGATGATTTTGATGGCTCGTGTCTGCCTGCATGAGCTGCAGCTGTCCTAAAAAGCCCCACACGTTGCTCGAGTGCGCGGCGCGACCTTGTCTGCTTGTCCTTTGCTTTGACAACTTCGCCGTAGGTGCCCTTGCCCAGTGTCTCACCTTCAGAGGCGAGAAATCTTGAAAAAACAGCCACTTAGCCTTAGTCTCCTCCGTTTTCAGGCAAGCACAGATCTGGTAGCGAGAGTCGGGGGTGCCAGGAATGGCTGTCTCAGCAACGTCCTTCTGCAACGCCTCGGTCAGCAGACGGACCCGATCAGCACACATGGGCCCAGACCGCCAGCAGAGCCTGAACAGACATGTCCTGCTGCAGATGCGCAACATCCGAGAAGATCATGCGAAAGTCGTCAAACCTGGGTCTGCAAACGTCTGGGGCCACAGCCCCACGCAGGACACCGCGCCCGCTCCACCAGCCCATCCGGAACAAATAAGCTCAGGACGACAGGAAACCCTGGCTTTGCATTTTGACCTGCCAGTGGAAGCTTTCAAGTCGGAGGCCTTTCTCTTCAGCAATCGCTGGCCTTTAGGTGAACCTGGCAGCCCAGAAGGCCAACGAAGCAGTTCACCTTGTCCCCCAGCTTCATCACATCTTCGAGGCTTTGAACTGGGCGAACGGAAAAGCAAACACAACTCCAATAAGCGAATCTCTTCCCTGACGAAGGAATCGAGGTCCAGTCTGGATTCTGTCTTTGCTCGCCCAATCTCTGAGAAGAACCTGGCCAAGCAATTGTACCGAAGCCGGACAAGACTGCAGCTCACGCAAAACTGCAGCACCTCACACGTGCTAGTGACTGGCCACAGGTCACAGGTCCCCAGCCTCTCAGCTTGCAGCTCCAGCTCCACATTGGCCAGCATGCCGTGCACCGCCGAAACCTATGAGCCATCGGACTGAAGTCGGTGCTCCCCCCCGAGAGGACGGGGGAGTCGGGCCTGCTCTGGCGTGGGCATTCGCCGGGGACGAATCTTCCACTGGTCGTGCAAGCGCAAGGCCTCAAGCAGCTTTGGCGGCTCCGGCTTGCAGATGCAGCCGCAGCCCACGAAAGGCTCTGAACTCTGAGCAGTTCACCGTACCAGGCTTCACATCGAGCACGATTCCACCGGACCTAGCATCAAGCAACATGACAACTGCACCTTTATCTTCTACTCGCCATGACGACTTGGGATGCACGCTCAGGGTCAACATCCAGTATCGACGCCGGGATCCAACACCTATCGGAGGTCCACACAGACAAGCAAGCAGCAAGTTTGCCGCAAGCTGCATATGTACAACAGCTCATGCCTGTGGTATTCACTCCAGTAGTCGACCTTGGTGATTTGGGGGTCTTGTGAGCACCGCTCTGCTTCAGCATGTGCCTTCCTGCAGCTAGCTGACTGCGGTTGGCACAGCCGAGGCCCGAGCACTAGAAAGCATACACCTAAAGATTCTGGAATGAGCCCCACCAAAAATGCAGGGTTCTTATCACGGACTGCGGAACCCCTCTGTGCCAAACACCCCTTCTGTGGTTGGATGGTCCGACTCTGGCTGACGGACTTCATCTCACTCTCACGACCCGGCACAGAACAACATGCAGAGTAGTAGTAAGTAGTACTGAGGTACCTGCCCATTGTCCCTTCACTTTGCGAAAGGGTTCCACAGCATGCGCCTCCGGCAAGATTGTTGAACAGGAATCCGCCAAAACATCTTCAAAGGTCGAACTCCGAAACAAAGCCGCCAAGCGCCTGCTTGGCTAGTAGCTGCTGCTTCAACTTGTGAGCATGGTAGCACGGCTCGCGTCCACGGGCTTCGTCGCGTGCCACATTTTGCTGGGGCCTCGACGCCAAGAATCTGGGCACATGAAACTATGCTGGCACGCAGAGCAGCGCACGCTTGGGCTTGCAGGTAGCACTGACGCAGGTTCGGCCTCGAAAGGCAAGTGAAGGGCGGGAATGTTCCAAGCTGTCGCATAGGAGGCTTTTCCACCAGGCCCAGCACACGGGAGTTGGGCTCCGAACCTCGGACGTGGCAACTGTGAGCGTCCTCAGACATGCACTGGAGTTGATGTCTGGACGTAGCATTTTTGCTCAAGCTTCCTTCGCTGCATTATCAGAAAACATGGCGTTGCGACACCTCTTCAAACTGATGCCTCTCAGTAAACATCTTCGATGTCCTGTCCAAGGCAGACTACGGACCCACCTAAAACTATTCTGGAACTCCACATCTTCGATGTGGCATGATGTAGCCATTTGTGCTCATTTCGAGTCGCTCGTGGCTTGGCTTGGATCAGAACAGACTTCCACCCCATTGCTGGTCCTTCCACTGCTGAAAGCTCGACTTCTGCTGCCGCTCGTACCAGATTAAAAACTCTGGATATGTTTGGGAAGCTGGAGTCACGAACTCGCGGTATGATGCGAACAGTCTTTGCCGATCTGCGAGTACTGAGTGGAAACTGCCAGTTTTCATCTCATTGTTCAGCTTGGCCGTGTCCACGTGGAACTCCGAACTCAAAGTCCGAGAACGGCCAAGCGTGACACGACATAGGAGCATGCAGCAAAGCCCCCCATGGTCGTGTACATCGGTGTGCTCCGCTACAGACGCATACATGTCTGCCTTCGAAGAGCATTCCGTGAAGTAAATCCCTGAGCCAAAAGCTGATCCATGCTCCAACCGATGGTGATCCTCGAAACCATCCTCGAAGATGGACATAACATTGGTGGGAGATGTGCCATGGAAGAGCCAGTGCTCATTCGCAGCTTTTGCAAGCGGCATCGGGATGTACTGATCTACCATCGTCTCAGCGGAAGTCGATGCATGGGGGAAGTGCTCTGCTGATTCCCTTGAAAGTTGCATTGAAATTTCTTTGCGGGTTTGCACGTATGCATCCCAAAGATCCGAGTGCATAACTCGTTCTACCTCGATCACCTTGAGATGGTCTGCTTTGAGCTTCACATCCTTCGTCTGGAAGGTACGTTGAATTACCTCCGAGACCCACATGAGCATGGCAGTCTTCAGGAACGAATGTTCACCTATGCGGGCACCCGCACGGAACAGAAACATCTTCACTTCAATGTTGCGCTCGCTGAAGCTAGCATTTCGATTGCGGAAGTGCAGCTGCAATACTGCAGACCCTTCGCAGAAAGGCGTCTGACCATGAAAGCTCTGACCACAGTCGTGCTCCAACTCATGCGAGCCGTCGTCGGTGAGCAAGACAGCCTTGACGTCCACACCAGGACCTCGTTCCTTGATTGTCACAATCCAATGCACACCATCGTCGTTGAATGTGCCCTCCACCGATGTTGACCCACCAGCCCCCAAGCGGAGAGACCAGATTCGGCCACGCCAGTTCTCCTTGCGGAGATGCATGGAGCTCCTGACCGACGGAGTGTGGGGGATGGTGAGGCCATTGGAAAGAATTCTCGATACAGCCGTGCGAACATTCACCACCAGCTTGTCAGAGAACGACCGGGTCAGCTCAGTGGCGCCTGTGAAGGAATTGCTTCGGACTGGGGAGTTACCGTTGCTGCGCAGCACCCGGCCCTTTCTGGCAGCCGATGTTGCACCGCTTCGCTTCTTACTTTCACAAGGTTTGCCGAAGAAATTGGCAGAACAACAGCCAGCCGCAAAGCTGCCAAGACAAAGCGCAAGGCTGCCAAGGCTTTCGCCTACCATGGCCAGGCTAAGGACTCGGCCAGAGGGCTTGATCCGAGCACGGCTGCCATTGCTGTGCTGTGGATGGACCTTTCAGGAAAACACTGTGTTTTTAACATGCACTCTGACCCTGGGAGTCGTGCATCTGCCATGTACGGGAAGAGCCTGGGCTGAAGTTACTCGCAACGTCGGACATTCAGCGTAGCACTGTGCACCTCTTGCAGCAGGCCTTGTGCCAAAGGCACTCCAAAGAAGCAGCACCAAACCAATGTGAGAGAGAATGGAAACCCGAAAGTGCTTGAGCACTGACAGAATGGCCGACGTCATGTACGGTAAGTCAATCAGCAGCAATGCCGGGATGACAAGCCGGAGAAAAAAAAGCTGCAGCACATGCCCTACTCGGCCGTGGTCTATTCTAAGAATTGCTACGATGCTGGTCGAGGCCTGGCTGCCCTCCGTCTGCCCTCCAGACCTGGCCAAAAGCATCATTACGGACGGATGTTGTTGAGCCCCGGTCCAATGCCACAAGCCCGACCGGATGCGTTTCCACAAGCACACGTAAAATGCGATGTCGTGATGTTCCGACTCGTTCCATGAAGGGCTGGCTGCCAGGCGTTGCAAAGGTCAGACGAATTGGGCCAGGAGTGCACTGCGCCAGTTGCTTCATCTCCGTGACCTCCACTGAAGCAGAACAACTGTTTGCACAGCCACACACAGGAGGCTGTTGGAGGGCGACCCGTGGATGCCTCCATCTTACATGCCTGTGATTGTCTGGTATGCGGTAATGAGCGCTGGGACATGGCTGGGACTAGGGGACAAGAAACTGCATCTCACAGTGTGGCCTTGTACTGATGGGAGCTGAATTGTCTTGAGCTCCATGGGATCATCCGGCGACGCCTAGCAGAAACGTCGGCACTGCGGATGGAAGCTCATGACCTAGGACAGCGATGAACCTCCGAATCGATTGCCGGCTTCCACTCTGACCTGGAGAATAAACGACCGGTCACCGCACCAGAGGCTCATGTCGACTATTGTGAGCAACTGCGGGAAAGCTATTGAAGCTTCGACCGCTAGGCCTCCACGGCTCAGAAGTCACACGAAGCACTCCCTTCTTTGGGGCTACCGGGTACCGATCGACAGATGTTCAAGTCCGAGGCTTGGGTGTGAAATAAGAAAGGCTCAGCTGTGCATTCTTCTGACATGCAGCATCATGTATTAGGGTGAATGCCCTCGGTCAAGCCGGGGATACGGCCAGGTTTCCAGAAACAACCCTGGTTTGCTCATGCCAATCCTGAGCAGGAGCCAGATTCACATGGCTACTGATACTCGAGGGCATGCATCGCTACCGGGTAAGCCCCGAGCGGCTGGTGCCTGAGGCTCATGCGACATTTCTGCTGTCTCATGAAGCTCCGTCGTCCTGAACACGCTAGCTAGCAACTAGCAAGCTCGCAAGCTACCTTGCAAAACTGGATGCGGCAGGACCATGCACCGAAGCTAACAAAGCTTCCCTCGCACTGTCTTGTGCTTGCCGTGGTGTGCATCATTAATAACCCTGCATCTACGATTAGTTCAAGATTCGGCGGATTGAAAAGAACGTCTGCACTTGTTGATACTCAAGCAAAGACAGTCCAGTTCAGGGCAGACCCGCCGAACACAATCATTACGAGCAACGTGGCGAAATATGAAGCCCTGTAAACGGTGATGTTCACAACTCGCGTATTGCAAACGACACAGATCGAAAGAGAGAGAGAGAGAGAGAGAAATAGAAGGCAGGCAGACAAACCAGTAACACCAAGCCGGTGGTACGAATCTCCACCAAGGTAGTTCAGAACCTGAACGCCAACACATGGTCTCCATTGCTTTGACAAATGTAGACTCGAAGACGAACCTTGGCATGCAGCGGTGATAACGACGGTGGCGAGAACTCGTCGTGACCTGCACGTTTCAATCTGAAGGTCTGTCCGACAACCCCGGTACTGGAAGAACCAAAACAACCATCGATTGCTTCATCCACCGAAGCCTGTCCATCGCATTTCTGGTGGGCAGACACCTGACCTTCGTCGGACTGTCTGATCCACTGCAAGCTGTGTACTGAAAGAATGTGTTGCTTTCAAGTTCCTTGTTCACGATGCCAAAATGGATCAATACAAACTTGATTCCTGCCTGGGGCTGCCCATCCTCTAACATAAGCATGGACGCCACATTCTTGATGAAACGCTTTGTTTCTTCAATATCATTGCAATCCAGCTGGAATTAGCTTTACCTTGCTCCAGACTCAATGCTACGAGCCATTTCGCACTCAACATCCACTGGAATCTTCCGGTTATAAGTCAGAGCTTCGCTTGAAGCGGAGAATGTCCACGTTGCCAAACATTGGAGCCGGAGCAACTCTGCAAATTCGACGTTGCTTTTGCTCAGATCCGCTGAATATCAAAACAGCAATCCATCAACAATACTCAGCACGGCAACGAAAGGACATGTGCCGAACCCGAAGCAACCCTCGCGGGCCAATTTGCTCCGACGGACGCCACTACCTTGACCGTCGCCCAACCTTTACAGCGACTAACAACTCTCAACTCTCCGGAAAGCAACTGGTTCAACAAAACACCAGACAGACCATCTGGGCAGGACGGAAACAACTAGAATCTGGAAGTCAACGTGATAGCCTGCCATTACATCAAGCACGGAGTCAACCGCGGCAAACAACGGAGCAGAGCGCATGATTTGTCCATGCGTTGGTTTTAGAGAGAGGTGTAGGAGTTGATTCAGTGACTCCAGTGGGTTGAGCGACCTCTGATGTTCAGTGGTGGCGAGTGTACCAGGTAGCAGCACCTAAATTGCAGCAGTTTGAGCCTGCAGCATCAATTTTTAAACCAACATGACAAATTCAAACAACTGCACAAGGTGAAACACGCTCACCACCGCTGACGAATAACAATCCGAAATCGGTCCAAATCATTTTCAAAAAACGTACAATACATCCACTTGAAGCTACAGGGCCATCACTCTGTTCGCATCCCCACAGCAGAGACTTTGCCACATTGAAGCTTTTTGCAGCTGCCACCCCACCTGCTTTTTCGAAGGGAAGCGCCCAACATCTTGCAGTTTAAAGCCGCCACGATTTCAGTTTTGTGCGGCTCATGCAAGACGATGTCTGTTGCACAGCTGGCTGCCATCTAGGCAAGACACGGTGGATTGCGCAAGGTTGGACGGGATCAGAACTTGAGCGTTGGAGCAACACGGAAGTGTTTTTTACGCTGCTAACTGCCGCAAGGCATGTTTAATCGGCCTAAGTAATGGAAAAAGTTGGAAGAAACTTGGCTTGTGAATGAACAGCAAAGTACTGCTCGAACTGTGTTCAATCAAGACAACTTGGAGGAAACGCCAACTTTAGAGCCCAAACATCAGTGAAAACAGGTGTAAAAGCCAAGAGAATTTTCCACTCACAAGGTTGCAAAAACAATGCAAAGAAATGTCTAAGATGCAGGTCCAACAGCTTTTCTCCGGATTCCAGCAAAGAACGCAATTGCTGGCAGAAGCCATCAAAAAGTTTTCCAGTTTTTTGCAACATTTTGACAAGCTCCACTTTCCCTGAGAAACTCTGCCATGAGCTGGCAAAACACGTTCAGCTTCCAAACAGGTTTTGTCTCTCTTAGTTTTCAGGTTCTTCCTGGATCTCACACAAGCCAAGTCCAAAGTGTGGGACCAACACCATTGTCTTCTCGCATGCTCCATCACAACGAGAAGGAAACGCTTCCATTTGTGGTTCTAGCAGTTCCTGCATCAATATTCCAAAAGGCTTCCTAATGGGGGGCCTCTCTCTAGGGAAGATGTTCCAGCACTCCATTCTGTGATAGCTACAGGCCTATGTTCAGGACATCGGTCAGAATTCCACACTTTTGAGCACTTACGATTCACGGGCCTACGGCCCGCTGCTCCCATGATCGTAGGGG